ATTACACAAACATTTGGAATGTCAGATGAGTAGGCACAGGGGTAAAAATGGAAGGGTACTTCACTTAATGGCATACAAGTCTCAACAGTTTGCCAGTGAAGACATATGTCTGGAACTGTGAGTGCTTTGGAACCAGAAAGGGAGGTAAGAAAGAGTGACTTGGGCTTGAACGATTGCCAAAGATAAGTCAGACTCTCTAACTTCCTTTTACAATTTCTGCAAGAGCTACAAAGGAGAAGGTAACTGGATGCAAAAATCCAGCCAACAAAAACTGGAGTAGCTGCAGGTGGTAAAAAAAACACATTGTGTGCCTTAGTGTACACTTTAAAACAAGTATAAGCAAATGTTTGTCTTTAAAAAGAAATAAACTAAAAAAGCCATGGTTTCAGCAGCCCATAGATTGTTTTATTTCAGGACAGCAGGCAGTGGCCTTTACTGGTAGCCCTTCCTCCAAGCTTCAAACCCCTAACTATCCACCAGATAAATAAGCCCACTCTGAAGTCAAGCAGTGTGAACCTCATGTGCTTGTATGCCGGGGTGGAGCTGCAAAGAGTGGGGAACGGGAGGGGGGCTGGACACCCCATGGCTTGTGGAACTGGGCAAGCCCTGTGATTTTCCTCCACATGATGTTTGGGTTGGTCAGAGTGGTGTGTAGAAGAACCAAACAAAGAATCTTTCTGGAAACCCGCGATGGCTCTTAGGGACTGACATGAGTAATTCTTCATTGCTGGGAGACAGTGTGAGTACAGCTACAAAACCCACATACAACTGCCCTCCAGCCCTGCATGCTTAGCAGTCTCCCAAGCACAACTGGTCCCAGGGGTATGAAGAATACAACGCTCACACGAAATACATGGCTTCTTCCAGAGCTTCCTTTCTGGACACTGGTTCCAAGGGGGCTCATTCACATACCTGTTGTGAGGCAAAAGTGAGGAGATTAATGGGCAAGCACTTTGACCCAATAAACAAGTACAGTTCTCTGTACCAGAATGTTGGCATCGCTTGTGCTTTTAGTACAAGCTTCTCTGTTGTTATATATGTTTTATTTATGAACGCTGCCTTTCCATAGGGAAAGTATACCCAGGGTAGTTCAGAGGAATAAAAACAGACAGAATACAATGTCAAATACTGCCTTATCCTAAGATCACCATAAAACTCAACAGCAGATAAAACTAGGGCAGGTTTGTTTTTTTTTAAGGAGGGAAAGCCAGGGGTTAGTGCTAGAGTGTCAGAAATACAGTTGGGAAGACCAAAGTTTGAACATCAGCTCTTGTCATGAGAGTTCACTGGGTGACCTTGGGCCAGTCACTCTCTCTTAGACTGACTTTCCTCATAGGGTGGTTGCTGGGGATAAAATGGAGGGAAGAACAATCCTGAAAGCTACTTTGGATACCCATTGGGGAGAAAAGCACGGTATTGGTATCTCAGTCAAATTCTACTCAAAAGAATATGTCAGGTTTTTAGATGATGCCAGCCAAGAAAGCTTTAATGGAGGTCTCCACTAAAGGATCCTCTGATACTGCAGTTCTACACCAGGTATTAGCAGCGGAGGGGACGGTACAGTTCCACGGTCCTTTTCCTATCACTGCTGCCGCCACTGGGAAACCCATTTGCTAACAGCAGTCAAGGGTGTGGACAAATCTAGCTCATCTGCCATGTGATGATTTATTTAGTTCTTACATTTGCTCTGATTTTCCCCCTGCTGAATTCTTGTAACTCTGTGCAGTGGCAATTTTTTTTAGTATGAGTATGCCAGTGGGAAAAATGGAGATTTACACCTAACAAAGAAAGAACTCTCCCCTGCATTGTCCCCTGATGATATGTGCCTAAGAGCCACTGCTGACTAGACAGAAGTAATTATTATTAAGATTATTTTGGGGTGAATACAAGACAGGTTGTATTTCACATTACACAAAGGGGCACTTCAGTAATTGGATGGAGGAGAGGTAGCATTTTATTTCTAATTCTGTTCTATGGTATGACCAGTTTTGTGATTCACCACACCCTATTTTGCTCCATGTTCCCAGGATTATTCCCAATGGACTATATTACCCATTGAGCATGTTTTGGGACTTTCATAAGACTATTCAGTATACTTAAGAATGTAGGAGCCGCTGTGCTGGACTGGACTGATAGTGTCGCTGGCCCAGCATCCTGTTTCAGCGGGCCATCAATACCCAGCTGATGGCCTCCAAGCCCAGGATGTAGGCCAAAGCTCACCCTGTTGTTGCTCCTCTTGCACCGATATTCAGAGTGTTTCTGAGCATGGAGTTTCCATGTGGTCATCATGGCTAATAGCCATCAATCGACCTGACCACCATGGATTTGTCTAATCACCTTGTCAAGCCAACGGAGCTAGTTGGCTTCTATTTCTATAACCGAATGGGACAAACTAGACATTGTACTTAAATGCACACCTGGTGCCAAAGTTTGCAGTCACGTGTTTAGTTTCCCTTCTGTAATTCTAAATAGAACTTAATGACTTCATTATGTTCTGCCCAGTTCCTTGGCTTGTTTTGGCAGATGAGTGGCCATGGCTCAGTGGTAGAGCCTTCATTCCCCTGCATCTCCATTTAAAAAAACCCAAGCACTAGCAGGTGTGAATGACCTTAACCTGAAGAACTGCTGCCAGTTAGAGCTGACAAGGGGGGGACCTGCAATACTCGCGGGGGGGGCA